TCAGAAAATCACAAAAAGTGATCACATGACCCCAGGACACTGCATCTGTCATAAATATGAACTAGTTGCCAAGCGGCCAAATTTAGTTCATGTAACCATGCGGATGCTGCAACAGTTGTATATGTAAAAAACGGTGATAAGTCACTATTTTCAGTGCTGTTGTAACTTTGAACTGTCACTAAATAAACTGTTGTAAGTTGAGGACTAGCTGTATTTGCTTGAGAAATGACATAAAAAAGAACAGAAAAATTAGTGAGTGAGTTTAAGTGAGTGACTTTGGTAAAGGTCTGATAGATGCAACTTGAAGCATAAGTTATGTTTTTTTAATAATATTTTGCTTACACTATATGCTATAAGCCAGTGGTCAGAAGTGGGGCAGATAGGAGAAAGGATTTAGGCTGTTTTCAGAAACTGCTGAAAAGTTATAAAAACCATCCGTTCTACTGTACATTACAATATTTAGTTTTGTTGAAGAGGGCTATTGCCCTATTGCAAATTAAACTTAATTTGCATTTGAACAGGTATATTCTTGTTGCAATGTGCAAATACTAATTTATTCTCATTTTACATATATTGAAAAAAGTGCTTCCATTGTTGGTTCTGTAAGGATGTGTATGCGTGCTTGTGTAAAGAATCTGTTCTTGTATTATTTGTGTGGAAAGGTTATTGTTTAATCTTCTATAAAGGGACTACAACCTTATTTATGTTTGACTGCAGTTAATTTGGCGAGACCCATTCTGAATAGGCATGCAGAGAATAGATTTGTTCAAATAATTCCCTTGCTTAATTCTGCATAGACATGCAGTGAGTAACACCCTTGCTTATTTCTGGGGCAGACTTATTTGAAAGTCTGATTTGGTTGATTTTCCCAAAGGCTTCTTTAGGGCCTGACAAACAAAGTACATAGTAGGTCTAGTTGTTGAACAAAAAAATATTGCTTATTGTGTTGCTATGTTTCAGGGACATAGCTATGTACCTGTATTGAATTCTGAAATGTTGTGACTTAGGTGTGCATATGTTTTCTTTGTTCACATGAAATGTGTTGTCTGGCAGCATTGATTTGAGTAAGGGATGAACAAATATTAGGCAGAAAAGTAAGCAGTAAAGGTCTGGTCCAAGAGAACTAAACTGTCTATGTTACACAGGCTGCCCTAGATAGCTCTAAGAAGGAGAAGTCAAGATCACTTTCCTTATATTGTCAGGGGGGAAAATCAAATCAATCCTGCATATAAGGACATTATGTATGTAAATGAATGCCCTTAACTCTGTGCCAGCATAATTATTACAAACATGAGGAATATTTCTATTTCTATTAGAAATAGAAATTAAGCTACTGTTTAAAAGACATGAAAATATTTGCATACATACAACTGACACATGTCTGATTGGATGTTACATGGAGCATAATTAGCAAAATCCAGTAAGCATGTTTTATGTTCCTGCCTGAATGGTTTATGGGAAATGGTTTGATAAGATAAAATAACTGAGCCAGCCTCCCCTGGTGTCAGCTATAAGGATGACCCTGGCACTGGCATAAAGGTTTTGTCACAGTATTTTTTATCCAATATGACTGATTGATAAAAAAAACTTACATATTTTACTACCACAAACACTGGAGGGCATAGTCCCTATATAATAATAAAACTAAACTATCAAGAAAGTGCAGCATTATAAAAATGGCTTAGTTTTGAATTGGCCTATTCAATAAATTTCCTGCTGTAAGATGTGCTGTGTACAATTTTGACAGCAAGAAGAATGCCAGTGATAAGATAATGGAGAGTATTATTGTATTCTTTCATATATTTCTCAGCTTTGAAGTCTTCAGTTCTGCCTGCTAAAATATAGATGATGCACCTTTCTATCCAGCATATCTCAGCTTTGGGCATACTTTAAATGAAAGAGTCAGGTTGCCAGGCTCTTTTCATTTTAATTACAGAAACTCAGTATTCTGCTATCCCAAAAATGCTGTGCCTGGCTGATTGCTAACAAGTTCAGCGGAGGGTACAAGCTCGCTGATGAACAGTAAAAGATAGTATTGTAAAGAGGAACACTAGATCAAAAGAACAAGTTCTTTCTGTTCTTGCGTTTCCGAAAGTAGTAGCACAGGTTTTTTTTTTGATAGGAGTTCTTCAAACTAATTTTGACTCATTTCTTAATTATTTATTTATTGGATTTAAATTTGCCCTTTAAAAAGCAATAAGAATATAAAATATACGTAAGAGACACTGAAACCGAAATACAGATAAAATCCCAGTGTTCGGTAAAACAAAACAAATGAACAATTATATCTAACAGTTAAACGTTTGGCAGAAAAGATGTGCTTTTAGCACCTCCAAAATATTGGGGTATTAAGGACCAGATCCATCTCCCTAGGGAATACATTCTTCAGCCTGCGAATCACACAGGAAAAGAAACTTTCAAGCGTACCAGATGGATGTAATTCTAGCAGTGGAGATAATCTTCAAAGTGGTTCATTGAAGAGACCAGGAAGGTTCCATATAATATAAATGATCCTACACATAGAAGAACACTGAAATGGCCTTAAAAAGGAATTCAGTAACCTTTATGTAAAAATCAGCTCAGCCAGGATATTTAGAAGGGAGTGAAGAAAAAACTTAAGATTGGCCAGCTTTGATATCCTTTAGAGGAGGGGAAGAGAGAGAGAATCTCTCTCAGGTTTTCAAGATTCTTATTTTATTCTATGGCAATAAAGTAGCATTCCTGATATCTCTTTCCTGAACTTGCCTACTTCAAAAGGCTGACACATAGTCAGGACTTAATGTTTAGGGTCTTGAAAGTCAGGGCCAATACCTTGTGGGCAACTGTGGACAACTTTCCATATAGGATTGATATCATCCCTATATTTGTTCTAGTCTAGCTGCCACATTTTGTACCAATGACAATTTCTAGATGTTTTTCAAGAATGCTCCTACATATTCTACTTTGCAGTAATGAAGGTGGTTGACACCCAAAATATAGGTAATTGATATTAAATCTAGCTAACTCGGAAAGGGTCACAGCTGGAAAAGAGTTCCTTGACATAGCCATATTTACAAATCCAGGGAGAGTTTGGGATCAAGGAGCATTTGTAAGCTGAAAAGCTGTTCTTTCTGGAAGAACACAAACTGCTCTGAGCAAACTATTTCAACTCAAAAAAAGATCAACTTTTTTTTTATCAACACACCCCTCAATCTTTCTGGATTTAGTTTCAGTTTGTTTTCTGTCACCTGGCTCATTACTGAGGTTGGACAACATTGTATTGATTACTCTCTTGGATTAGAAGATAAGAAGATTGGAAGAACTGAGTGTCATTAGCCTATTGATAGCATCCAGTTCAAAAACTCTTACACAGAAGTTACACAAACTGAGCAACTCCCTGTTATAATTTGAAAATCATGAGTCTGAATATGTCAATACCAAATTCAGATTGTTTTATTTTTCCATGTATAAGATATATATATATGCATGCAGTATGTTAGAAACTGACACATTAGCATTTCTTCTTAAAAAGTTGATGAAAGCATAACCTGATCTTGTAATATTTATTTAATGACAATCATATATCTAGTTACACTCAGCTAGAGTATATGATTCATGATACAGAAATAATGCAGAATTTAACTGAAAGTTCAGAAATGTGAATTTTGGAATATGGTATGTTTTCTTTCTCAGGGACAGATACATACATACAGACATGTTTATAAAAACACACCACTCATAAATTATAATTAAGGTGGCATATATCATATAAAATAATTTTCAAACAATAAAATAAAAGATAAATACAAAATAGACCACTAACAAATCACAATAAACACACAAACACAGGCTAGCTTTGCTGCAAGTTTTAGTACAGTAGCATCTTGAACCTCTTCCGGACTCTATTCCCTGTTTTTGACCAAATACATAATAGCTAGTGCAAACATCAGGATTAAAAGCCATTGATCAAGGGAGTTTAAGTAAGCAGCACTGAAGAATTACAAAAACCAAAGTGTTCATCCCTTCTTATTTCTTTATTATTATTATTATTATTATTATTATTATTATTATTATTATTATTATTATTATTATTATTATTATTATTATTATTATTATTATTATTATTATTATTATTATTATTATATATCATCAAATCAACTCTGATTGACCACATAGATAGACTTTTTCTGTGATGTGACGTTCTGTCCTATCAATAGCAACCAGTTTACTAAATAGTAAGAACCAGATGTTATTTTACTTCATTTGTACTAGCATCTGCTGTTGTTGGTAGGCTAAAGATACAAACATTTCATCATCAGTTTGGGTGTGTGCCAGTAAATATACTAATAATATTAAGCATATTGCTACCCTACTAGACTTTTTGAAAGAAACGAAGAAATAAAATATATTGAAATTATATTTATTTATTAGATGTATGTGTCACCCATCTTGTCTAGAAAAGACTTTATTTGAAAAGCCTTTCATAAAACAAAGTGGCAAGAGGATCATAGCTATAGTATATGAAAATAAAACTAAAACAATTACCGTAAGTCATCTAATGTTCTTTTAAATTTTTTACCACAATGCTGCCCCTTATTCAAGTGCATATTAACAACATACATGCCGTATTGTAGTTTAAGAAGTTTCCAGCAGACACAGTTAAACATGGCAACATTGCTGGTTAGATTTTTTAAAAATCATTCTTTGTGAATGCCCTGGGTTAATTTAGATCTCAGAAAACACATTAGGAAATTAAACAGTAATGCAAGCTAATTCAGATTTTAATTTGTCAAAAAGAACGATCTAACCACATAGTTAATGTAAACAGAGGCACAGCACAGAAAAATTAATGAGGTTTCCCTTTCATTGAATCTTCAAGGAGTGTAGATAATTAGCTTCTTTTGTTATTATTGCAGGAAAATGCAGCATTGTCTGGAAGGTGTAAAATAGCTGTGGCTTCCTAAGTGATAATGTGTTTCATTTGTCTTCTCCTAATAATTATTTACATTAAACTCTTCTAGGATGATGCTGCACAGCCACTGAATCTCTCTGCTAGACCCAAGACAGCAGAACCTGTCAAATCCCCGACGTCGCCAACGCAGAGCCTCTTCCCTACGAGTAAAACCAGCCCCGTGAATGTGGCCAATAAAAGTGGAATCCCCAGTCCTATTGGCATGACTCTGGGAAGAGGATCCTCTCTAGGTACTCAAAAAGGAACAAATCTGGGTCATTTCAAATAGGGATGAGAGGTCTCTAGTCTTCTCCTGTGGGCCTAGTTTCATGTTTTTTTTTTGGTTTTTTTTTGCAGAACCAGGTATATTCAAGGTTTCTTAACATTTACAAGGTCTTTGACATTTATTGCATGGAAGCTCTGTCATATTTATTAGGCCTTTGATTTTTATTTTATCTCAATAGATTTACATGGGAATCTATGAGGGAAAGTAGTCCTTTCAATATACTTTAAAGGATAAATTAAAGGTAAATTTAAAAAAAACATAAATTCTTTGAGTCATGCTCAGCTAATCCATTGGAGTGGGTGGCTATATTAAATCTAATAAATAGTCATAACAAATAGGGAGGCTTGGTTCTTCACATCTGAGGCTAAAGAGTTGTTTCAGATTGGGCATGGCCTTCTTTAAGGAGGTCCTATTAAATCTATCAGGTCCTCCTTAAAGCTGCATCTTTTCCTGGGTTCATACAGTAGCTACATATTCACTGGAGGCACTGGTAGCACACCTATCCTCTTTCCAAACACCTCCTTAACTCAACCCTATACACATAGATTCTCTATGGAGGGGCCAAGAGGTGCAGCTTGCACATTTTAGCATCAAATCTCAATTTATTGGTACAGTCATTTGATTTACTTATTATTCAAATTTATTTATGTGCCCATCTCTCCCAAAGGGGGCTCTGGGCAACGCAGAGCAATAAATAAGTCAGCCAATACAAAACAAATAAAAATCTAAAAAGTCAATAGCATCAAAAGCAAAAATGTCATGGAAGAACTCTGTGGAGATTGATTTGTGACTGACTTCTTTCAGGATATTTTCCCAGTCCAAATGCTAACCAGTCCCAACCTTGGTAGACAGACAAGATCAGGTCAAGTAAATAATAAAGATATTACTGAAAATGTAAACAGTCTGAAAACTCTAATAAAAATAAATCAAGGTGCGCAGTGGAAAAATTGGGACTAAGATTAAATATAAAGATGACCAAACTAATGACAATAAGTACAACAACCAAATTTAGAATTAACAATGAATATATTAAAGGGCAGAAGCCATCCACCACTTTAGGATCAAATGTCAACAATAAAGAAACAGCTATTGGACATACTGCAGACTGGTGCTTCAGGCAGAATAACAAAATAATGGCTGTGGGGAAAATATTCAGATGCCTTGATATGCCTATATCTACAAAGATCAGAATAGTGCAGGCAGTGATATTTCCTAGGACACTCTATGGAAGTGAACATTGGATTTTGAAGAAGTGGGATTGAAAAAGTAATGACATGTTTGAATGTTGATGTTGGGAAAAAAAACTCCTGAGAATACCATGGATAGCCAAGAAAACAAAGTAATCAATGAACAAATCTCCAGAATTTCACTCAAGGCACAAATGACCACTCTCAAATTATCCTATTTGAGTCCTATTATATGAAGACCTCTAGAGAGCTCTCTAGAGAGGGCTCTGATGCTAGGAAAGTTGGAAGAAAAGAGAAGACCCTCAGCAAGGTGGACAAACTCAGTTATAGTAGCAATGTAGTATGACCTGAAGGTTCAGGTTGGAGCCAATTCATCCTGAAGAAAACCTATCTATGTGGTTGCTCAGAACGGATACTGATTTGTTGTCCCATTATTAACTATTAATATTTCAATGTGTCTGCAAAAAAACCCCACCAGAATGTAAAAATTTAATAAATGTTGATGCATGCTTTTGTTGTCCCATGCAAAAAGTAATTTCTAAGCACTCTACAAAGCCGTCGTCCAAAAAGCATATTGCAATAATCTACATACAGTATATTGTGATTAAATCATATATTATAATGGCCAATCTAAAGTCTCAAGAAACCTATCCAGTTGGCACACCTATCTAAACTGGGTAAAGGCATGTAGTTGAAATATTCCTAACACTAAATTATTTTTATGGTTTGATCGAAACGTAGACAAGTAATCTTTTATACAATTAAATCCAACATTGGAAGTAACAAGTATTTAATAGCCATACACACTTGCTTCTCAGTGTCTCTGATCAGAGCCAGAATTAAAATATATTGTTTCAATTCTTTTACAACTTTGACTGTAACATGCCATTTCATGGTTACAATCCCTTGAATCCAGGATTATTCAGAATATGCACTAGATTTAAAAGAGCATCCTAGAAAGTTTGCTTCATAGCTATACCTCACTCTCCGTTTCAAAAATTGCTTCATTAGATGCTTTCTATGATAAAAAAAAATCTTTCAAGTAATGTAAGGCTTTATCTTCCTTTCTTTCTCGTCTCCAATCACTGAATATTGTGGTAAAAATTGAACAGGATTTATTTATTTTATGTTCTATAAGGTTCATGGTTGAATGTAGTTAACATGAATGTTCTGGGTTCAGCTTGACAGCTTCATAATGGAAAAACAAATGAAACAGCAATGAATTATATCAGTTATCACTTGGAAATATCAACCTCTATAAGAAAACATATGAATTTTTCTTGAACATCAGTTAAGATTTACAAATACATTTACAAACCAAAGCAAAAATCATGTGTAGGTACATTTTGGTCCTTTGCGCTAGGATTGAAAAATACGCTGAAATCCTCACTTTAAAAGGCATCAAATGTTTTGATTAAATCATTAATATAATAATAATTTCTGTTAATTGCTTCGGGAGAGGTTATCTCTGATTAAACATCGCTCAGAATGGAAAACAAAATTATAGCTGTTGCCCAAATCTAAAATTACTATCTATTTTAATGTTACAAGATACAGGCTTAAATATTTGCAGCAGCTGAAATTACGTTTGTGTGTGTGTGTGTGGATATAAATTGCTTGAAAAGGGGATATTTTAATGCACTCTTACAATCCTTTTCTTTCTAGACATCCTTTCCAGTCTTAACTCACCTGCCCTATTTGGGGACCAGGACACTGTAATGAAAGCAATTCAGGAGGCTAGGAAGATGAGAGAACAAATCCAGCGGGAGCAGCAGCAGCAACAGCAGCAACCACATATTGATGGAAAGCTTCCCAACCTGAATAATATGGGCCTAAACAACTGTAGAACCGAAAAGGTAACACAATAGCTCTTCCACCCTTGTTGCTGCTAAATTTATTTGCCTGGTGGATAGCTATTTAATTCCAGGAAGTTACAGTTTTTAATCACTTTTCACATTGACGTGTGTGCAATGTAGGTCCAGGAGGGGAAAAAAAAAAGTAGATTGGATTGATCAGAACAAGATTTTTCCATGAGGAAGATTTACACAGGGCTCCAGTGGCACCAACAGGGGATATCATTTCCCCTCCCCACCATTCTGCACCATATGAGAATCAATGTAGGTATCGCAAATTGGCCAAAGTTTCATTTGAAGAATGGCAGATGGTTAAGGATAGGTCAGGAGGAACTAAGAGCCCTGTTCCCATCTCCACTCAGTCATATTCTGTGAATGCTGTCCCAGAAAACTTTAGGCTTCTTATATTAAGTTCCCAAGTTACAGAAATATTATATGGTACAAATAGTAGCAATATGGATTAGAGTTGTCTTTCTTCATGGATACTGGGCTCCATTTGTCTAGTATCTCCTCTCCAGTGACATACTCCCAATAACCCCAGTAGGAATATACAGAGAATTCTTCCTGCTAGTTGTCACCTCGTCTTCTAATTGGTATTTGATGTCATACTGCTAGGGTATGCTAGGTTACCTGGCAATTCAGTAGAGTCATAATAGCTCAGTAGAATTTTCTTTACCTAATTTCTCACAGTAGTACAGTATCTTGTCAAGTGATCTAACTGTTGTTTTGGAAAGTAAAAAAATAATAACAGTTCCCTTTTCTTCAGTTTTTTTCTGAAACAAAAGGAAAGTATTTCACGCCATTGATTATTTTCTGCACCTTTTTCATCTCTAAAACCAGGGCTGATCTGTGGCCTACAAAAATCCAGACAACCACTAGGTGGCGGGCAAGAGTCATAGAAAACCCTATATTTTTGCCATCTCCTATTGATGTGAATATTTACAACTCAGATGTACCAACTCTTTTATTAATCAGGGCAGAGTTCTATTTTGTATAGGGAACTTTTATTTAAATTCATCTTCATATAAAGAGAGAGAATGGTTATGTGAAGTGGTGCTAATATATATATGATTTATTGACCACCTATCTTACCACAGGGTAATTGTGGGCGGTTATATTATTTATATTACCATCTTCCTTCTACGTACAACATATTCGGAATGGCTGTACTGTACAATCTACTACTCGATAAGATAGAAAAATGTGGGTTAGACAGCATCACCACCAGATGGATTCGTAGCTGGCTGATCGGCCATACTCAGCGTGTGGTCCTCAATGGAACCGCATCTACATGGAGGGAAGTGTGTAATGGGGTGCCCCAGGGCTCTGTTCTAGGTCCAGTGCTCTTCAACATCTTCATCAATGATTTGGACGAGGGGATAGATGGGGAACTCATCAAATTTGCGGATGACACCAAGCTGGCAGGAATAGCCAACACTCCAGAAGACAGGCTTAAGATACAGGAGGACCTGGACAGACTTGAACACCGGGCGCTATCTAACAAAATGAAATTCAATGGTGAAAAAAGTAAGGTTCTACATTTAGGCAAGAAAAATCAAATGTATAGGTATAGTATAGGGGGTACCTTGCTCAACAGTAGTAACTGTGAGAGGGATCTCGGAGTCCTAGTGGACAATCACTTAAATATGAGCCAGCAGTGTGCTGCAGCTGCCAAAAAAGCCAATGCGATGCTGGGCTGCATTAACAGAGGGATAGAATCAAGATCACGTGAAGTATTAATGCCACTTTACAATGCCTTAGTAAGGCCACACTTGGAATACTGCATCCAGTTTTGGTCACCACGATGTAAAAAAGATGCTGAAACTCTAGAAAGAGTACAGAGAAGAGCAACAAAGATGATTAGGGGACTGGAGGCTAAAACATATAAGGAACGGTTGCTGGAATTGGGTATGTCTAGTTTAATGAAGAGAAGGATGAGGGGGGACATGATAGCAGTGTTCCAATATCTCAGGGGCTGCCACAAAGAAGAGGGAGTCAAGCTATTCTCCAAGGCGCCTGAAGGCAGGACGAGAAGCAACAGATGGAAACTGATCAAGGAGAGAAGCAACTTAGAACTAAGGAGAAACTTCCTGACAGTTAGAACAATTAACCAATGGAACAACCTGCCTCCAGAAGCAGTGAATGCTCCAACACTGGAAGTTTTTAAGAAGAGACTGGACAGCCATTTGTCTGAAATGGTGTAGGGTTCCTGCCTGAGCAGGGGGTTGGACTCAATGATCTCCAAGGTCCCTTCCAACTTTATTTTTTTTTTATTATTATTATTATTATTATTATTATTATTATTATTATTATTATTATTATTATTATTATTATTATTATTATTATTATTATTATTATTATTATTATTATTATTATTATTATTATTATTATTATTTCAAAAGACCCAGATGAAGAATGCACGCACAAGCTTTAGATGGAGCTCAGCCTTTCTCCTCTCTTTGAATAACATTCTGGGGTGCAGTTTAATTGGGAATTCTGAATATTTATGGTGTTTTTCATATCAGAAGTAGATATTTCATACAAAAGAGTTACATTTTAGAAGAATTCTTAGGAAAAATAATCTGCATAGGTAAGGAGATAGTTTAGTTTGAAGACCTGGACAATTTGTTTGGCTTCGCTTACAGGCTTTTGGACAAACAAACGAGGTAAGTATCAGTTGTGGTGTTTTGGTAGCAAAGTAATGGAAGCAGGCAATTCTCTCTAAGGAATAGATACATATCTACGAAATATATTAGAGATATAGTGTGTCTATAATTTGCTTCCTTGCAGGACTGGTAAGAGCATTATTTAGATACCACATGAATCATTATTTCTTGTACAATAATAGCGGACCATATACAATGTTATTATTCTGGGTGACTCAAGACAAAAAGTTTTGCAGCCTTTAAGCAGAAGACAAGAGCTTTGATTATGAGATAGAGCAGGGGGAAAAGGAACAGATGATCAGTAACATGCATGTTACAATCTTTCACAGTCATGTTATCTATCGCAATGAAATCTGAAATGAAAAGTGTAGTTTGATCTTGTACAGTGGTGGGATTAAAAATACCTACACAACTGGTTCTCTGCGTGGACACCACTTCTGGAAATCTGTTGTGGGCCTGGGCCTCCGAGGCCCAGAACGAACTTCCGGAAGTGGTGTCCATGCACTTCCGGCGGTCTGTTCTGAGCCATGCAAAAAAGGGTTAGGGTTTCAGCCGGTTCACCAAAGTTCACAAAACTTTGTTCTGCCGAACCAGTGCAAACTGTTTGAATCCCACCATTGGTCTTGTAGTAATAGTTGTAGTAGTTTTTATTACAAATTACTACTATATCATTATTATCGATAAGGATTTACTGAGTTTATAACTACATGTATATGTGTTAATATTATACACTTTCTCTGTCTCTATCTCTGTCTCATAAATAGCCTTGAGAATAGGTCAGGGAAAATATTGAAATGTGTTAATGCTCTTCAGAATTTAGAAAAAATTCATATCTTGTTACATAAAAGATATAGTCAGGAACCTTGGGGGTAACATAGATTGATCTTACTATACTTCCAAATCTTTAGCCTATTATTTGACAGCAGTAACTACCTGATCATGGCTTATCATCAGAATGGCCTCTTTTGCTTTGGTATTGTGAATAAGTAAATAAAAGTAAGCTTAGGTGAATGTTGTAGCATACTTGGACAGATCAATATTGGGTCCTGTGCTATAGTCTACCAAACAGTCGATAAAGTTGTATAGTTGGTTTTGGTTTTTTTTACATTTTATTTGTACTGTCTCAGTGCATATAATAGTTGTCAGTAAACCAAGAATCTGGGGCACTAGTAGCCATTTTCCAACCCATTCTCAAAGGGAGGAACAAGAGGTCTGAGATTCATTACTCAGTTGCAAGTACAAAGGAAAAAGTGCTCAGTAGATAGAACTGTCAAATATATGTTTTCATTTGCATTTATATGTTGCCTTGTTAGATTTCTCAGAGCAACGGGGGTAAAATGGATCCATGCCTATAAAAGGGATTTACATAGCTTCTTGCCCCCAGAGGATTAACCATGGTTTGCAAAACATATTTTATAATCTAATAAATATTTATCTGCACAAGATGTGATTTAAATGATAGCATTTTAAAACTCATTTAACACAGAATCCCATTGTGAAATAATTTTTATAACAGCTAGAAAAAAAAGCTGAAAGTGTGATACACGATTTCTTGAGAGTGAAGGTTCATTCTCCGAGCTTGTGGGTTGGTTTCTGAATGTTTTATTACCAGGCTGGCTAACATCTTCAGCAGAGTTTAGGGGATGTCAATGTCAGTGTTCTTGTTTATAAGGGCTTCAGGTGTGGGTATGTCAAGTGAGGTTACATCAGGTCGGGGCCATTGGGAGGTGAACTGGTGGGAGGGGAGCTTGCATGGGTTGGTTGAAGGTCAGAGCTACACCCACATCCTACACCCGAGCTACAGATATTTGCCACTATTGCACACTATTTCTTATTAAACATGGCCTTATGAGGTCCACAGGCTCTTCTGAAGAACAGATTTCAGTTTGGAAACAACCCTGACCACAGTTAGAACCTTTTATTGGTTGCTTTCTAAATCTGTTTTTCCAAAACCATTGAAAATAAATGAATTCTGCTGCCTTCGTGTAGACGCTATATTGTTCCAAGTAATCCTTGATACTGCTAATGAGTGCTCTGGGCTAGTTCTGAAGTTAGTCTGAACTTCTGTGACCCTAAAATATTCAGTGAGACTATTTGAACAATCTATCTTTTTTTTCCCCAAATATCTTATGAGCAGTCCTATTTTTGCCTTTTCAGAGAGCTTATCACTCCATGTTTTTGACTTTTAATCAAGCTAGTAGGTTCTTTAAGAGAAATAGCTTTTTCTGACAGTCCACAATCTGCCTTT